CAATGAGATTAAGATTAAGGACGGAACCATATTGTGAAGTAATTAGCTTACATAATCAAAATTGGAAGCACTAGATATAGTAATCTAGACAGCAAGAACAGTATAAATAATTTCATCAAAATCAGACATAATTTCATTGGTTGATATACGGGTCTAATAAATCTCACATTCTTTTTGTTATCTTGCCAACACTTTATTTTCCCCTTTACATCTTCTTCGATATTCAGTAACAGTCCTTTCCCTAACCTTTTCTTTGGACTTTTGATAGATGATCACAAGTCCATCTCTTTACACTTCCCTCTTTCTTTTTCGTATTATTTTCTCTCTTCTGTCTTGATTGCGGCATCTTTCACACTAGTTCTCTCTCTTTCTCTCCCCCTATCTATTCCCACCCATGAAACAATGTTGTGTTTATACATTATTCACTATATTACGATGACGTGATATATAATTGGTTGTATCACTTAATACCTAAGGAAAATTAAAATTTCATCCCTTACATCCATAATCCATTCCTAAAATCTCTTCACCTTTCTTTCGTCACACAATTTTTTTTTTTTGGTATGGTATATTACATGAAATTTCACCATAACAATGAGATAGAGATATGGATTTGGGTTGGTTGAGCTACATGAGATTGAGTTGTTGGCACGCCTTTGCTTTCTTGGGCAGTTACATGCCTTTTCTTTGGAGTCATTGGTTTAAAGGTTGATCCCTGGTTGACTTCTTTTCCTTTTGTTTGAGACGAGCTTTCGGTTTTAAGTAGAGGCAGAAGCTGATACAGGATTTTGTTTCAATTTAATGCATCCAGCTTGGAGAAAAAAGAATATGGTTTGTCTTTTGCAAAAGTGCCTCACCCTAGGTCTAGCCAGGAAAGCTCCTTTCTCAATTTCGATCTCAGCCCTTAACAGAGTTTCAATCGTTCAGCAACATTAAAATGGCCTATCCATTTCCTTTTCATTCAAAGCCTCTATTATTTGGCCTTGGTTGTGCTTCCTTGTTCCATACATCTTTATATCGACTAGCGATATCCCGTGCCTGAAGGCACTGTACAATTCAAAATATTCGAGCATTGATCGTAGACACAAAGAAATAAGCAATAATTTGTGTGTGAAGGTACTATGTAATAAAAAATTGTCAATTAAAAAATAGAAAAAAAAAAAAAAGAATTCATTGGCATTATTTGTACAAATACATGGAACAACTATAACTCATCAACATGACAAATCAAACAAATACATGAAAGCAACTGTAACCCATTTACATAGAGACAAAGATATCAATGGGTAGAGGGAAAACACACTATGCACACTAATATTAAAATAGTAAACAATTGAAATTTCTTCAAATCGCATTAATTACAACAAATCCATACTATAGTACTTCATCACTTTCCCTACCAATTCAATTATCTATTCAAAAGAAAAGAACTCAACACAAATTCTAGCTTATAATCCCATAAAGAGCTCACAATATTATGGAGAAGCGTAAAAAAAAAAAAATGCAATGCAGTATAAAAAAATACCTCAGGCAATTTTCCTCAATTTCCAACTTCTATGCAAATATTGGTTGTTTCCACCTTTAATATTCAACATAAAAAGTTAGTTCTAGCAATGATAAGTTTCTCAATTTAATAATACGACACATCTGCCTACCAAAATAATATGAACTTGACAAATTGATTTTTCTAACTGCCAACATGTAACAACTCCAATAGTTGTTTTCAATAAAATCAAATAATTGCAAACCTAGGTTAATTTCAAGGAAGTAAAAAAAAAAAATCAAGAGCAAACTCATAAATGAAAACCCATTGTATAGGTTAGGCAAACCCATCTGTTGAATAACTACCATAAAAAATTAAATTTGACAAATGTGTGTCGAAATTTTCTTTATTTTAGTAATGTTACATTTGGGGATAAGGAGAGGGTAATTGCTCAAAAGCTTGTTTTCCAGGTGCTCAATAGCAACCCCTTGTATGTTAACCTAAATAAAATTAGAACAATATTCCATCAAAATGTTTTCATTTGGACCAAAAATGCCAAATTCGTTTTTGTATCTGAAGCCAATATGAACATATCATTTGGAACATTTAAATGACTTTAATTCAATTAAAGAGAACATAACTGTCAAACAAATGAGAGAAAAAGATAAACAAATGTATAGGGGGCGAGGGTCCACATTTCTATTCATTGTACACACATTAGCATACCCATTATGCTAACAATTATTGATTCAAATAACACTCATTGAGACGTTTGATTGAACACACATTAGCATAACAATTTCAATCTACTTCATTATATAAACAGTAAAACGTGTGGTTGAGTGTGCTTGAAGAGTAAGGATTTGTTACATAACCATTGTAGATTTACTTACCAAATACCAAAGTCTAAAAATTAAACTATTAATCATGTGTTGTACGATATTACAGAGTGAACACATGTTGGGGGTAGTGGCAGACCACACAATACAATAAAATTAAAATTCTAAAGTCCCAAATCAACCCTCTTGCTATGCTTTATGAATTAAATTATAGGCCCAAATTGAACTCTCGTACTAAGGAAGCCCTAGAAAACAACACCCTAAGAAAAACCATGAAAATTTTCATCGAGGCAAAAAAACAAATAATTTGAAATCATACTCTTTGAACCTAAGAAACAATGTAATCTACTGCCTTAATAAAGCACCCTTGTGTATATGTGTGCATGTGTTATTTGTGTGTGCGCAATGAGTGTGTTATGTATGTTTTGTTGTGTGTGTGCTATATGTTCTTTGCATGTGTATGTGTTGGGTATGTGTGTGTTGTGTGTGTTCTATGCTTGTGTATGTGTTGGGTGCGTGTGTGCGAAGTGTGTGTTTCGTTGTGCGTGTGTGCGAAGTGTGTGTTTCGTTGTGCGTGTGTGCAAAGTGTGTTTGTGTCTGTGAAATGTGGTGAAGAAGAGGAAGAACAAAGAAGAGAGAGCGGGAGAAAAGTAGACAAACCTTAGAGAGCTCTTGAGGTCCTGGATCGTCGGAGAGAGGAGAGTAGTGGGTGAAACACCCTAAAAAGACACCATGGAAAATCTTCATTGAAGTAAAACAACAAAAAATTTGAAATCATAGCCTTTTAACATAAGAAATCAAATAATCTACCGCATTGATAAACAGAGGGAGTGCGTGAGAAAGAGAAACAGAGGGTGTGTACGTGTGTTAGAGAGAGATAGAGAGAGAAGTAGAGGATGGGGGGTTTGAGCAGAAATTGGATGGCATGTGTGTGTGTGTGTGTTTGATGGGTATTTTTTTTAGGGGATGGGTTTGTGTGTATGGGTGGGGGAGGTTTCGGTGGGTTGGGTAGAGATGGAAATGTGCGTGTGTGTTTTAGGTCTTGGGGGGTGAGTTTAGTTGTGCAGAGGGGGAAGAAGGGTGAGGGGTGTGAGAGATAAGACAGAGAGAAGCAGAGAAGAGGAAGAAATACCTGCGGGTGTAGCGGAGGCGATGGTAGTATGGCTGTGGCGGTGACTATAGCGGTGGCGATGACGGCAACAAAGCCCTTCGTTCCTTGATGTCGTGGTGGCTTTGATGGTTGTTTTGATGGTGGGATAAGAGAGAGAGAGAGTATGGAGTGAAAAAGAGGGAAGGTAAAAAAAAAAAATAGGTGATGGATTTGGGGAGAGGCCAGGCTGTCACTCTGACAGTGGATATGATGCTGGTGGTGAGGTGACTGAGAGATGATGGTTTTTTTGGTTTTTGGGGGGGGGGAAATATGTGTAGGATAAAATTCAAACTCCCTTCTGTTTTATTATACAGATGTTAATTCCTGTGGGAGACCTCCTTCTTGCCCCTTAATTCTTTTTGTTTTCCTCTTTGAATTTCATATGTCAAGAGTTTGTACATGGGACATGCAAGCAAGGCTCTTTTTATGACAACCAACTTTTAGCGACGCTTGTAGTGCAACGGTGAAACCATGATGTGGTTGTTTCGTAGAAATTTTGGGAGTTTTGTTAGTGGCAAACCAATTTATTTGTGGATTTCAAAATTGTGTTCAAGTTCGCTTACTGACTGAGAAATGGTAGGTTCAAGCCTTTCCCTTAGTTTGGTTGTCACAAACACTAGGATTTAGCAAATGTTGTGCTTAAATTGTTCAGGGATTAATTATGTTGTAGGTCAATTGTATACATGTTTGCACAAGCATTTGGAAGTAAACAGTCCATTTATGTCATTAAGGGCATAAACAAGTATGAAATTGAGCTGCTGATATACATCTCAGCAGTTAGCCAATGAGCTTGAAGACATATCTGGAAAGGAATGGTGCCACTGATTTTCTTTAGCTCATTTATCTGACATCATTGGAAGAGATTATCACAGTGGTAATATCCTGATTGTACTTCAGCTTTCTTTTAGAACCTTGACCGCAAAAATGTCCTACCAGTTATCTATTTCACTATCTGTGTAATCTGAAGAATTGTTTTCCTTTTTTTTATTAAGCCATTGTTTAGCTCTTAAGACCCTTGATGATGACTGAAATCTCAAAAGTGGTTCACATGCTTAGAACTAGTTTTTCAGCAAGTTGAGTTGGTTTTGCCCCCCAAGCATCATTAACCTGGGCAAGTCAAATTCTAGTTGTACTAACTTAATTTAGTTTAGCTTGAATTGAGTTTGATCACATACGAGGTGCATGTGATTTTGAACATTCTAATTGGCCAGTTGCCACCATGTTCATGATTCAAGAACGTTGACAATTGGCACGACTAGATCGGACGCGTCCACACTTGGACTTTTTGTTTTGCTAAGGTCAACGGAATTCCTCTTAAACCATTGTTTAAACTTTCCCAACTGAACGTGCCTGCCTAGTTTCAGAAAGCTCAATTGGTGGAAGAATTTATGTGAATTAGCACAACTTTAAATGTTGGCTCTGGAAATGAATATAGAATAGCTTTGTAAAAGGATGAGTAGAAGTTGAATCTAGTGAGGGATAATGAGTAAAAATTGGAAGTAAAATTTTGGGAGGATTGGTTCTCAAAATGAAAAGAATATACGAGTGTGGAAATGGTGAGTATTTAATTGGAAAACCTTATGGTTTGAACTGGGGGATATCTAAGGGAGTGGGAGAACCGGGGAGTCATGTGAATAATACAATATTGATGCAAATTTATGACTCTTCAGCCATCCTTTCAGGATTGAGAAATGAAATTCCAAATTTTTCAGAGACAAATGGCAGAAATTTGATGGGAAGCGAAGATGAGATGGTGTTGTTGAATGATTCTTCTATATCATGGCTGTTTAAAACTTTGCGTGGTAGCTACCAGGGTGATTAAATAATTGGAGTTTCTGCTGCTTAGCGGAAAACATTGCATAGACTACACTTGCTGTGAAATGGTGCCCTTTGTTCCAGGAATTTAGAATGACCAATAGGAATTCATTAATCTAGTCTAATTGACAGGCCCTTCACACTCTTTCTATTACTTTTGTGGCTGCTGTAAGTATGCTTTGTTCCCTGACAGTTTTCTCTAGTTCACTGATTTCCATTCATTGTTTCCTCTTAGGTGTTGAAATTTGGGTCATTTACAGAAGATGAGATCAAGTTTTTGAAAAGCCAACCGACAAAGAACAATGTAAAAAGTACATTTGGTTCTTTAGATGATGCAGTTGATGAAATTTTGGTTCCTGCTACTCAGCATTCAGCTGTTAATGGAGGAAGTGATGTGGAATGCACAGATGCAAAAGAAGAGGATTTTGAACATTTTTCTGATACATTTGCTGACACTGAAGCCCCTTCACATGTGTCTATTTCAGCAGCTGAGACTGAAAACTTTAAGTCTACCAGTGAAACATTAGACTATACCATTGATTCCTTTGTTACTGCAACGGAAACTGAAGTGAGTTCAGGGTCAACAATCGAGAGGCAAGATAGTGATGGCAGGAGGCAATTTAGTCTTGCCTCAATTTCTGAAGATATTGGCATTACTAGCTTTATCTTTGCTGCATTTTCCTGTGCTCAAGCACCTGCTTTATCAAGAACAGACAGGGATAAGTGTGAAGCTGTTAAAGAAGAAGAGGTCGGGCAAGAAACTGTCTCTACTCCTTTTGCAAGCATTGCAGCTCAAGAGGCCTGTGAGAAGTGGCGACTGAGGTGGGGATCTATATCTCATGTCATCTTGCCTTTCATTTGCCTTGCATTCAAAATTCAGAAATTGTATCAATTTAGTTTGCCGTTTGGTCATGTGGCCTTGATTATATATTTATCTCATGTTAGTTTCAGATTATAATGAATATGTTTTTGCTCAATAGAGTTTATTTTGAGTCTTATCAGGGGAAATCAAGCCTATGCAAAGGGGGATACAACTAAAGCTGAGGACTGTTACACACAAGGGGTAAACAGTGTTTCTCAAAATGAGACATCTAGAAGCTGTCTTAGGGCTTTGATGCTGTGCTATAGCAACCGTGCAGCAGCACGCATGTCTCTAGGAAGGATGAGAGAAGCATTAGAGGATTGTATGAGGGCTGCTGCATTAGATCCCAACTTTCTCAGGGTTCAAGTTCGAGCTGCAAAGTAAGCCTTATCTTTTGACTGGTCTTTTTGTTGGTATCCGAATTGTTTTAGCTTTTGTGTTTTGACAAACATGAAATGCCAAATTAATATGTCAACAGATTTCTTGGTTCCTAAGAATTTTAATATTGTGAACGCCACACCCCATTTTCCTGTATGTTATACACTATCTGATGATAGGACTTGTATAAATACCAATGATTAGCATTTGTAGCCATGGTGATGGTGATGGGGATCACAAAGGAATTGGGTAAGCTTTAGTTGAGGATTTGGATGGAATTATTTATTTAGCATTATTTTATTAATTAGGATTATTTTTATTATTAGTTTGGATTATGTGATTAGGAAATATTATGTGAAGAGGAGTATTTTTGACGGAGTTTTATTTGGAAGGTTAATTAGGTTTAGTGGCAGACTTAGCATATAAATATTGATGCAATCACCCATATTTTCCTTAGATTATGAATTTTGTGCTTCTTGACATAATCCTTACGAGTAGTTGGTAATATCTCTTCTTTCTTTTCTTCCCTTCCCTCCTTGTATCAATTGATATTAGAGCCAAACTTTGATCCATAGTCTCTTGCTATTTCCCTGCTGTTCTGCTACTCCAATTGTTTCCTATTTACTTTTCAAAAAGCATAGCCCCTGCTACTGTTCATTATCATAGGTGGCAATTCTTCTTGCTGTGTTGTCGGAGTTGCTTGCTTCAAGCGATTTGCTTTGCCGCGAGTAATTGGTGGTTGCTTTGAAATCTTTGTGGAACGCCACTGACTTTCTCAATGGAATATACTGTTGCTGGCATCAGCACCACACTCCTTCACAATCTCTGCCACGATCATCTCTGATTGTTGGCATAGGGATCGTTGTTGTATCATCAATTGCCATCATTGGGTAAGCCATCATTGTTGCGGCTGCAAGTTATTCACTAGGTGTTTGGTGTCGACAAGCTCTTGCATTTCTCAGGACCGGCCCAACCACATGGCCAACAAAGCCTACTTTAGGCCCCAAAATTTCTAGATGGATAATTAGTCCAAATAAAAAATTTTAGCGGCATAAGATTTTTTAGGCCCCAAAAAAAGTCTTATAAAAATGTAAACACAATTAAAAATAAATTTGAGTAGTATAGGCTCATGAACCCATTCCATAATATTAAAAATATACCAAAACAAATTTGTTGGAAAAAAAAGCAAATGCCAAGGGCTAAAAAATATTCCAACCGTCAACCAAAACACACCTCTCTCTCTCTCTCCAATGCGCAAAACTTAAAAAAAAATCTCAAATTTCATAAAACTTAAAAAATCTCAAACATATATTTCACTCCCGCTCTCGGTTTCTCCTCCCCCCCCCCCCCCTCTATAGTAAACTATTTTTTTTATAGTAAAATAATGCCCTCTGTCTCACTCACTTCTACTGAACACAAACCTTCTTTTTTTAGTTTAGTTTGTGTTACGAAAAATATACCAAAATATTTTTGATTATTTATTAAACTTAAAAAATTAAAATTAGTAGACCAAGATTGTTTAAAATTAAAAGTAGTTTTTCAAAATTAAAATTAATAAAATCTTTCATAAGATCGACTATCACAATAAAAGATTAGGTGGATTAGTGATGCTACGAATATAAAAAGATATAGTAACGAAACATAAACATAAAAGCTAACAGTATTTTTAATCTCACAAAACAATAAGAATATATTTTAAATAAAAAATTGTTAATATTAAAAATAAAAGGCTCATTTTTAGTTGCCGCTATAGGCCTCAAATATTCTTGAGCTGTCCTTGGTATTCGTGGCCGAAGGAATGCACCGGAATCACTCTCTGTTCCAGATCAATTTTTCTGCCCATCGCCATTGACGTCATTTTCCCGCAACTCGGTATGGGACCTTCATGTCTGTCTTCAAGTTGCTGCTCAATGTTGCTGCCACCACCGCTTGCTCTCCTCTTTGTCGCCCCTGAAACAGAAGCTAGGGTTTGCAAGATGCAAACCAATGTGAAGAAAACATTTTTTTTTTGCTTTTGCTTTTGCTTGTTGGGATTTAAGATTATAGATCCAACTTGATTTCCCTATTTTTTACTGAACCAGTTGTTTTAAAAGAACTTGAGCCATTAACTAAAAGCATTTGACCCACGTTCTTTAAACTTTGGCCCGAAAGCCACATTTGACTTCATATCCATATTGTACCCCGCCAATCTAGGAAAGAGGCCAAACCTGTTAAGCCAATTGAGACAACACTATGTCCTGATATTTCTGGATCCACTACTGCACCTGTGAAGGTGCATTTAAACCCCTTATTTTTTTCTGAAATTGTTATACGTTTTGAGAATTCCATGGTTGTTAAGAGGTTTATCTTTATTTGTAGATTTTTTTTATGTTCCTATTTTTAACTTATGTTGATTTCTGAGTTCTGCTTTCGTATGAACAATTTTCTCAAATATATAAAGCTTTCATGCATAACTTATGTTTTTTGGTCTGTACTTCAGTGTTGACTGAATGATATCAAATGAATATTGGTTTTTAGATCATGGATTTACTGAAGCTTGATATGTTGCTGTATGTGGATTGCTTGTTTAACGGCTCATGAGGTTTCTCCACTAATATATGAGTTTGGGGAGAGACTCTCCACCTGTAAATGTTATACATGGAAGCTGTTTGAATTTTTATCCTCTTCAGTTTTGGGAAGGATTTTGAATTTTATGGTTTCTTTGAGTTGTAATTGGTTGAATATCTTATACAAGGGTTGTGTAAATTTTATTTCTTCGATAAACTTTTAAAAAAAAAATTGTCTTTTTTTAAAAAAAAAAACCTTCTTGCTTAGTTAGTCAAGTCTTATATTAACTTAATCTGATGGGTGGACTAATTATTTTTTCCATGAACATTGCTCTTCTGCAGAATTGCAGTAGTTTATAACTGCACTCTTTTTCCCCTTCATCTTTTCAGTTGTTACCTTGCCCTAGGCGAAGTTGAAAATGCATCGCTACATTTCATGAAGTGCTTGCAGTCAGGACCTGATGTCTGTGTGGACCAGAAACTATTACTAGAAGCCTCTGAGGGCCTTGAAAAGGCACAGGTATGGAAATTGAGTTCTTCTAATTATGGTAGAATCATTGTTCTTTTGATAAAGTTAAACTTCATTATTTTTTACGCTGATTGTGACCTCTTATATTGATGAAAGTCCATTGCACCCATATAAAGATCTACTCATTTTGATGCACAATTACCTCTGAGTTAAGGAAGTTGTCTATTGAAGCAAAAGTTTGAGTCATACACGCCGTAAAACTAGTGGGTGGGATATGTTTAACTTCTTGGTCAGTACAATCTGGTGACCTTTTCTAATTAGTATTGCTGATTGCGAAATGGCAGAGAAAGGAAAGAGAAATTAGGGAAAAGGATTGTGGAGTATGGATTCGGATGATGAAATCGGATTTTGTTTCTATGGCTTTGGGCTTTTGATAGATTTTGTCCTATAAACGACCTGTTAAAGATGCTTTTATGTTGATCTTGAATGTCAGTTAACATATACGAATTAAAGATCAGATAAACTGGAGGGCCATAAACAAGGGAGTCTCACTGAAATAGGATATTGGTGCTTTGAGAGCAAGGTTGATGCATGTGACTAGGTTTTCTTGTAACTATTTGTTTGTTTGTTCTTCCTTTCCATCTTTTTTGGTCCGCAACAAAATTTTATTATTGATAAAAATATTGCAGGGACGAGTAGTCCATCAGAGCATAAAAAAAAGTAAAAGAAAAGAAAGATGGAATTGGAAGGAATCTCATGAGTTATATAGTAGTACTAAAGAGTAGTAGGTAGGCTGGCAATGGGACGGTTCACATCAGGTGGTAACGAATTTTGTTTAAGGTGGTCTAGCAGGAATTTTTTTCCTTTAAATTCAAATTACACGGAGGTGGATGGAAGAAGTAAATCTCTTTGGTTGTGTTCACTATGTGGTCTTTTATTTTCATTTTTTGTTCATATCCACGAAAACAGATGAATAAAGCGAGGTCAATTCTTATATATTTTACTACATATGAACCTGAAAATGTGTGGCACCAGGCTATTCAGGTTAGTTTGTTTTTCCTTCAAGATGAAACAGAAGATTCTAGAACTCTAGTTGTGTGTACTTGTAACTTGTTTGAAGATGTGCGCCATTAGCAGGAGCCACAAATGGCATTTGATAAGGGGGAATAATGCTATAGCTGGTCTGAGATTCATTTGGAATGGGTTTGTAGAAAACTGTCAAAAGAGAGAGGCAACTTCTTTAAACAAGACGGATTTGCTATTTTTTTATTAAGGATTGTTTTGTAGGATGATATTTGCTATGGGATGTGACCTGAAAGATTAGTTTCCTTGACCACTGTAACGTTGCACCAGATGTAGGTCTCTTATGGTGGAAATTTTCAGAGGGGATTAGGTAGCGCACTGCACTGAAAATGCGATTTTGTTAGGTTAGTGATATATTTGGAATTGGAGCCCATGAGTTTTTTTTTTCTCTTGGTAGTGAGGAGGCTGTTGCAATTTTTTTGGTGACGTCTATAGTATTACCCCATCTTTCCTTCTTTGTAGGGTGTGGTCTCCGCCAAAATAGTACTTGAGTGAAAGTTGCATGCTTAGTAATCATAATTGTATGGATGGGGAAAGGGGGAACAGTGGGACTATTTTTCATGGACTCGAGTACTTCTGTCTATTTTGGGTGCATCCCCAAGAGTAAGATATGTTTAATCTTGAATTCTGAGATATGAACCAAAGGAAAAAATGGAAGTGGGAGTCCATTTCGATGTCAATAATTTGAGAGTGAACTCATTTCCAATAGTTGCTGCGTGTCAAATAGGAGGGGAATAAAAATAATTTTTGTTACATTATCATGCAGGCATCTTATTTTATTGGCTTTTCTTGGTATTGATTGGTTGATGCCGGGTTGGTAGCAGCTGGAGTTAGAGCTGGGCTAGACGAAGTGGGAGGAAGGTGTGGCATGTAGTCCCACTGGTCTGGTCTGACACATATAGGATTCTAGATGCATCCTATGAATTGAATTTTTTGTTTACGAGCACTCATGTTTGGTCTTTTGGTTGTTTTCCTTCATCACTAAATTCCTTAATCGGCTTTTTAGGCAAGAGAGCCACTTATTTTACTCCTTTCGGAAGAGTCATAGGTTATTAGTATGAGGTATGCTTGGAAAGAACTTACTTGCCTATGCAGTTGCTGAATAACCCTATCAAGTTTTGAAATCTGAAATTCTTGAATTGCATTTGAAAATGCACAGAGTACCTGCCCTTTTAAAAGTAAAACCGGTTTAAGTATGGTTCTATTTTTAAGGCACATGTTGGAAAGCAACAACAAAAATTATATCTTTTTCTACTAAATCAGTCATTTTCGAGAGAAACAATTGAACTAAGCATAACAAAGCAACAAAATCAAACAACACCAGTTTAAAAACAAATACAGTTGAATCATTCTATGCAACAAGTGCTTAAAGCCAACATAACACAATAAAAACCCAATCATAACAAAGCAGAAAATTAGCATATCAAAGCAAAAAATCAGTCTAAGCATAACTGTATCAGGCAACATCACATCAAAAACAGAAGGGGAGGTTCTAGTAGAACTAGAAACAAAATCAGTATCACAGGAGAATCAGTAGAAAAAAAGCAAAAACAGATTAGAAAAGGAGGAAATAGAATCAGCAACACAGCAAAAACAAAAACAGAGTAGAAGAAAAGAAAGCAGCAGTAGAAAAAAAAAGTAGAAGCTGGAACCAAAAAATCAGAAGAAGGTGGGAATAATTAGAAAAGGAGGAGGAGAAAAAGAAGAGAAGAATTAGAGGATGTAGAATTAAAAAGTTTACTAAAGCGATTGCTTTTTTTGCTTCTTCTCTTTTCTCTCGCCTTGCCAATGCCATGCATGTTCAAGGCGATATAAGATCGCCTTACTTCTCGCCTAGGCTCGCTTTTCACAAAACTGCTTCTTAGGTTTCACAAGCACAAAAATCTATAAGTTAAATGTTGTATGAGAATTTAGAATATAAAAATTTTATTAGAAGGCTTCTGTTACCTTAATTTTTGCTATATTTTGCATCTGTTGCAACATGGGTGGGGCTTCTTAGGACTCTATATCAAGTTTGTATAAATAGTAAAAATATGTTATAATTCTATGTAATATGTAATGACACCATATATGGTGTTAAACTCATTGCTTCATGTTAATCCGTGTTTAAGTTTGATATGTTGTGCATGTGTTGGACCATGAGTGGTAGGGCTTCTCATGACTAGTATAAGAAGTTTTTCTACCCTTGTCGTGTGTTTTTTGTTCACTTTTGGAGCATGGCATGTTCTTGGCGTTTTTGCAAAAAACTCGTTATCCTACTGTGATCATCGAGTACCAGAATTCGTAGCATTAATTACTGCAGCATTTGGTCTCCATCAAATTAGATTTTATTTCAACTAAATTAAATTAAGTTCATTGTCTTCGATACAAAAGTCTTCAAGTTGTCTAATTTTTATTTCTTTGAACTGATATGCAAAAGTTGTTATTGGAAGCCAAGCTCTCTCCCACTGCTAGAAAAATAGTTACAATTGTAAATTAAGTTTGTCTAGATTTTTTTTTCCTCCCTGTTTTCCTTTTTTTTATAGGTACTTATTTTGCTAAAACTTTTTTTTTTGTAAAAAAAAATATATGATCATGTCAAGAACATGACGTGGATACCGGATAATAGTGTTCTAACAAAGCTAAATGGCACTTGTTTCGACTAGTTGACAAAACTTACATGGTTTGTAGACAATGATATAAGCATGTTGGAAAACCTTCTGGACTGCTATGATTCTTCCACCCATTCTTTTAATTTTTCTGGCCGCAGACTTAGCTATTGGTTGAGGGATATTTTATATATTACGGCCTTGCCAATTGATGGCAAGCCTCACAAGGGTGGAGTATCCTAGGGAAGGATATGGGAAAGCTATGCATGTTGATGATGAATGACTTCTTTGATCACAGATTGCCTCCTTCCCTCCCACTCCAAAATGGGAGCCCTAAGAAACTTTGTCCAATCCATTTCTCTCTTTGGGCCTGCTCCGTGCCTTTAAATGGAATGTTATGATGGGGTGCAATGCTTCTTCATCCACCACCACAATCCCAAATTGCCGAGGGCTAACATCAGGGTGATGGTAGGCAGCCTTCGCAAAAAAATGACTAGTAGGCCCCAATATTGGGGCGGCAGAAAGTCCTCCCCAAGCCTCTTGTACGGTTGTAGTATAATCTACAATAAAATGTATAAATTTGCATGTATCAATCACAAATAACAAAAACATCAAACACACAATATGCAAGAGCATGACAAAAATTTCTCCAATTTACATCTGCCGCCTGTAAGCCATGCAAAATTGCCAAATAACGTAACTTTTTTTTTCGGTTGTAGTTGTCTTTGGATTTTTTTCAATACAGCAAAGTCCACCTAACCATAAAAAAAAAGCTAGTTGGTAAATTCATAGAGACCTCGAGATGGAGGTCAAATGCCAGTGATCGAATCAATGGTATATGCTCCATCACAAAGAACTAAAAAAACACTATGATTAAAAAAATTGCATTTATCTAGAAAGAAATATAAGGCTTCAAAATGGTACAAAAAAAAAAACAAAGGATTACTATAAATGGGCAGAAAAACTAGACTGAGGCTGCTCCTTGAATTTGTCAAATGTTACGTACATGTTTGCAAGCATCGCAGCACACCATGCATAACTCTTAATCTATTGGATAATTTTGAAGAGAGAGAGAGATAAAAAACTAGAGCCTGATTGGACAAAGTACTGGGGACTACAAAACATATAAACCATAAGCTCAAACATATGGTTCAAGCTCGGGACTATTTACATCTATATTTTCAGGAACATTTGAAAAATATTTAGAAATGTTACTTATTTTAACAACGCCTTCTTTATCAGAAAGTTGGATTGTATTATTCAAATATTGCTAGTAATCATTTCTAGGATACTCCACCTGGCTTGCCATCTATTGACAAGCTTGTACTATCACTAATGCTATTGAGACATAATTTGAGGACATAATGAGTTGTCACCAATGAAATGATAGTGAAATATTTTTAATGATGACTCTCATTGTAGCATTAAATGAATTCATTATCATTCCATTGGTGACAACTCATTATATGTCCAAATTATGTCCATAAGTTATGTCCTAATAGCATTGCTCTTGTAATATATAACATATCCCTTAGCCCATTTATAATTCAACGGTCAAAAAAATTAAAAGAATAGGTGGAGGGATCATAGCAGTCCATAAGGTTTCCAACATGCTCATATCATCGTCTACAAAACATGTAAGTTTTTGCCAATTGGTAGAGACTATTGCGGAGTGCCATCTAGTATTGTTAGAACCCTATTATCTGGTATCCAAGTTGTTATGTTCTTGACATGATCATATGTTTTTTCTACAAAAAAGAAAGTTTTAGCAAAATAAACACCCATAAAAAAAATAGAAAATAGGAAGGGAAAAAAATCTGGACAAGCTTAATTTGCAATTGTGGCTATTTTTCCAACAGTGGGGAAAGCTTGGCTTTCCATAGCAGCTGTTGCATATCAGAGACAACTTGAAGACTTTTGTATCGAAGACAATGAACTTAATTTAATTTAGCTCCAATAAATCTTATTTGATGGAGACCAAATGATGTAGTAATTAATGCCACGAATTCTGGTACTTGATGATCACAGTAGGATAATGAGTTTTTTGCAAAACGCCAAGAACATGCCTTGCTCCAAAAGTGAATAAAAAAAATGACAATGGTGGAAAAACTTCTTATATTAGTCATGAGAACCCCTACCACCCACTGTCTAACACATGCACAACATAGCAAAATTAAACACAGATTAACCGAAAGTCAATGAGTTTAAAACCATATATGGTGTCATTACATAGTACACAAAATTATAACATATTTTACTATTTGTACAAACTTGACATAGAGTCCTAATAAGCCCTGCCCATGTTACAAAAAATAGAACAAATTAAGGTAACAGGAGCCTTCTAATAAAATTTTTGTATTCTAGGTTCTTATACAACCTTTAACCTATAGATTTTTTTGTGGTTGTGAAACTTAAGAAGTAGTGTTGAGCTTAGGTGAGACGATCCTATATCACCTTGAACATGCCAGATGAAGTAAAGGTAGGCGAGGTGAGAGAGAAGCGAATATGCGATCGCTTTAGTGAACTTTTTAATTCTACGTCCTCTGAGTTTTCTCTCCTTATTTTTCTCATTTTTTAATTCTTCCCATCTTCTTTTGATTTTTTGGTTCCCACTTCTAATTTGTTTTTGTGTTTTTTTTCTAGTGTTGCTGTTATATCAATTCTGCCTCCTTCTCTTTTACTCTATTTTTTTCGTGTGTTGTTGTGAAGCTGATTCTACTTCCTCCTCTTTTACTCTATTTCTATTTTTTTCTAGCTGTGCTGCTGATTTTGTTTTTTGGTTTTGCTAGAACCTCCCCCTTTGCTTCTGATGTGATGTACTTATATTGAGATCAAGGATCAAAATATCATTTTGACGCATTATTTTGGTCACCTAAGAAATAGAAACGTTTCGGAACAGTTTCGAAAATATAATGAAAATGGATAAAAATTTAGGGATTAATTTTCAAAACATTTCAAAGTATTGGTCTAAATATAATTAAAGATCTTGAAACATTGTGAAGTATTCCAAAACATTGGTGAAAACATATTGAAACATCTCAAAAAAAAACTCAACATTCCGAAATACCTCAAAGTATTGGAATTTCAATTCAATCAATTATTCGTTTTAGTCTCCTTAGAAAAGAAAATATTTAGGACGTCTCGACCGTTTCGACACGATATTTTAATCCTTGGCTGAGACTGATTTTTTGTTTTGTTATGCTGATTTTCTGTTTTATTATGATTGAGTTTCTGCATTATTATACTGGTTTTATGCACTTGTTGCACGGACTGATTCAATTGTGTTTGTTTTTAGATTGCTCCTATTTGATTATGCTACTTTATTATGCTTGGCTCAATTGTTTCTCTCGAAAAGGACTGATTTAGTAGAAAAATATATAATTTTTGTTGTTTCCTATTTGTTATCAAAGGGATTCATTTGTGATGGTTGAGTACTAATGACCAAATTTTTATCTGTGATGGTTGAGTACTAATGACCAGATTTTCATCTGTGATGGTTGAGATATAAAATATTTGTTTTTTTTTTTTATTGGTCGCTTCGTTTCTATGAAGCGCTCGCTTCGTCTCTCGCTTAGGCCTCAAGAGACTTGGTTGCTTCAAGAATAATGAATCCTTAGTTTTTTGTGGTGCAAGTCTCTATTGTGTAAACCCAATCTCTATTCACCCTATATATTTGATTGGAGCTTATCCTTATTGATTCAAACATGATAGAGAGAGCCGACCGATAAAAAATTATAGCTAAAAGCTTTTTCAAACCTTGAATTTTAACCTAATAACACTAGCTTAAGTATAAGTCAAAATGATCCATGTGCAATGCATGTGATACATTGTTAGTAGATTAAAAAGCCTTATGTGCAATGTACGTGCCAAATACACACATTAACAAGTCATTATCATTTAACTAAAATCCCAACAATTAGCACAAATATCACGAAGGTCACAATTCATGATCAAATTGAACCCATAGAAAGTAAGCATGAAAATAGTCATCCATTTTCCTCTCTACACATCGTGATTGGGCATAGGTAATGACATGTGCATGTTTCACTTAAGTTCACTCATGATTTTGAACAAAGACTACTGGACTGAGCCAATTGGTTCGTAAGGATTTCCCCCAGCTAATCACTATACTTTGCAATCACATTTTGAGCTTCCTAATAAAATGACAATTGGATTACTAGCCAATGGATGAGATGCTAATGGGTTGACTGTGGACTTATCGATGCCTATGGAAGTTTATTTCTATGGGGTATTCAATGTTTTCTCATATGTTATATTCATGGTGGATAATAGGGATATAAATTCTTTTTTGGGAGGATGTTTGGATTGGGTCATCATCATTTTCTTGTATATTCCTATGACTTTGTCATTTATGAGAGATTTTGTGGGTTCGTTCTCTACATTGTGAGATGGGTATTGGTGTGCACAATCCTTACCTTAACCAAACAATGAGTAGAGGGTTACTATGGTAATTGATGCCTAGGTATCTTTTTTATGAGGAATGTTCTCAATTAGGATTTTGCTGCCATCCATATTGGGCCTTATGCATATATTGTGGTGGGATTCATTGAAGTTTGAAAATAAAAGTAACTATGCTCAAGTTTTGTTTCTTCATTTTATATATTGCCCTTTTTAATTTCATTATTCTGAGTATGGGCAAACATTTTGGTCTGATAATACTAGAATTGTTTTTTTATTTTCCAGAAAGTGTCAGAGTGCATGAAGCAATCTGCTGAGTTCCTGCAGCGGAGAACGTCTAGTGATGCAGAGTGTGCTTTGGGTGTAATTGCTGAGGCTTTGATGATAAGCACTTGCTCAGAAAAATTACTTGAGACAAAAGCTGATGCTCTTTTCATGGTTTGTGCTAATATGGTTTGAAACTTTTAAACTTTAGTCCTAAGCAATGCTACTAGATTTCAGTAAGAGTGAGTCATGAGTATGTGTCTAATCATCACATTCATGTAGTATTTGAAAGTGATTATAAAATTAAATGAACACAGAGAAATGTTGTTGTGTACCAGTATATTACCAACTTCAATTGCTAGATGTCCCATACCATTGAGAAGGTGTCGAGCGTCCCTCATATACTTGATACATGCTGATGAGCCCGTGTGACAGGCTCATAAGTAGCTAAGAAGTATAAAAATCTTACAATACACTATATTTGATCAATTGATAATTCACCTTGAGGTTTATCATTGATATTTGTTTTCTTGTTCCATCTTACAGCTACGAAAGTACGAAGAGGTGATTCAGTTGTGTGAGCAGACTCTTAATTCTGCTGAGTCGAACACTTTGACAACAGGGGCTTGCCAGTCAATGAATTTGGATGGTTCTGTCCTACAAAGGAGCTCTTCGTTCAGGCTCTGGAGGTGGTCCCTAATAGTTAAGTCCTATTTTCATTTGGGCAGGCTTGGGGAATCTCTTGATTTTCTGAAGAGGCAAGAGGGGCCTTTGCCTGGCATGGAAAGGTGATTTTTATTACGCTTATATACGAGATTTTATTGTCTGTTTCAAGGATTCTATCAGATTTTTCTGTTCATATTACTGAACTTTCTAATGCTAATTTATCTTTGCAGGAGTCAGAACAAAACTCTGGAATCACTGATACCTCTAGCTGGCACTGTACGGGATCTCTTACGCCACAAGGTGAGTGTGTTTGGTGCTTTAAGACACTATTTGCTTAACCACTTGTTGGTTATGGCACATATATGATTGGATATATGTACATAAACCTTGCATTTACTCCACCTTATTCAATAAGTATATATTTCTTGGCTAACTATTTTAACAAGTCCTCCAAGATCATGGAAAAGCAATTGCTTTAGAATTCTAAAGCAAAATCGTAACTACAGATCTTTGGCGGCCTTAAGATCTGTGGAAAAGTTACTGTACAGGAACGTTAAGTACAAAAATACACTGCTGAGGCCTGGGTTTTAGGGCTCTTTGATGGGGAAGAAATTTTTTTTTTTGGACCAAAACTATGTATTTTGCTTGTCAGTTTACATGAATTAACCGCAAATCAGAATTTGTGATTTGCACTTAACTACACTACCATTGATTACATCTTTGTATCTCAGATTGTGTACATATATACCTCAACCATAATTCTTTTTTTGTGAGTATCAAAACTGTATAAAAAGGAACGAACAAAGTGCTAACTGCAGGTGCAATGGAGAACCATACATCCCGCCAAACACCCACACTAGAAAATAAAAGAAAATACTCTGATTATGATAATTCTACAATACACACAACGATCTCCAATCTCCAACAATGCAAAAAAGAGGAGTATCTTCAAACCCTTTTGTCATGTGCGCCCTTGAAGATGCCAGAAAAATGACTTCAATTTGTCTCTCTCACCTCCCCTAGTAATAGACTTTACTTCGTACAGGTAAAGTAATTGAGTGGTTAAATTACCCACTGATTCTATGCTTGGGTAGTGGAAATATTTGGATGTCTATTTGTCCCTAACAGTGAATTTTAATCTTTTGACGAAGCTTAGCCTATATTGTCTTTTGTGTTTTGGCATAAGGGAAAGATCTCTTTCTAACTATTGCTATATGCTCTAGAACTCGGGGCAAGCTTATGTTTCTTGGTGATAACTGTTTACTGATAAATAATGCTTCAAACAACGCTTCAAGTCGTCAACCTCTTTCGTGTGCTTTCGCCAAATTTTTCTTTTAACCCCCTATGGTTTGATTGTTGGCCATACTGAACAATTGCAGCCTAACCAATGGACTATAATAACCAATACAAGAGACATCATCCCTATTATAGATTATACAACAAAGAATGAGAGAATAAAGAAAGTTACAGCATTTGGAAATGGTAACATACACAGTATATTTTATTATATGAACAAACGATATACTTTATGTACCCAAAATCCAATTTCTATAATAATTACCGGACAGATACTTTAATGCTCACAAGTAGAAGGGAAATGAAGAACTGCAAAACTCAGCATAGAAAACTGGCTCAACACACTCAATTATTCACCTTACCCGAAATGAACCAACCATTGTCTCTCCTTTCTTTGCTCCCTAAGCTCTTCAGGCACCATGGCCGGGACTCTCATCACAGTCGCTACTAATATTTAAATGCTTGGTGACCAAGAATTTTTTGTAGAACCTTTTTGTTTTGTTTCTTCTTCCTCTGCATTGTGCAAATTTACTATGTCTCATTCCTCATGTGTAACAATTTATTTTGAATTGTAGCATGATGCTATAAAATTTTTAACCAAGTACATCTACACTTGAAAAGATGGGATGCTTTAAGTAGTTTTTTTGAAACTTAAGGCTGCAGGAAATGAAGCATTTCAATCAGGAAAGCATGCAGATGCTATTGAACATTATACCACTGCAATATTATGCAATGTTGAGTCACGTCCTTTTGCTGCAATTTGTTTTTGCAATCGCGCTGCCGCGTACCGAGCTATGGGCCAAATCATGGATGCCATTGCAGATTGCAGCCTGGCCATGGCCCTTGATGAAAATTATTTGAAGGTTTGCATCTAAACAATCTTCTTTCCCTTGTTTGAAGGTTTGCCTCTCGAAAATCTATTATCCATAGTTCTTTAATATGACTTTGTTGAGGAGGAACTTGTGGGTTCCTAAATTTGATTTTTTTTTTGTTAATGTTAAGCATGTTACAAATGGTTTTGTTTGCTTCGAAATTCTTAGAGTATTTTATTTTTTGTGAAGTTAAGGAAACTTATAGTTATTAAAAAAACTTTCTCCCGTTGAGTAGACAAGGGGCAGAAATTACACAGATGGGCTTTTTTTGCTGGAAATTATCTTCTATGTGAGGACCATCCAATATAAAGTCGAGCAGCATATCTAATTAATATGCAACTATTAAGCCATCACAATAATGATGAAAGCAACCTAAACGAGGTTAGAATCAAAATGATTCAGGTCGGTAGAAATAAACTGAATAATAATATACCGTATGTAGTAGAAATTCAATAATAGAGATAGTAAAGATTGGCGATCAAGAATATCATAAGGTGATGGGCAATTAAGAAACAACATGCTCAAAAATTAAGGGTTGTAGAGATGAGAATGTTAATAAAGAAGCATGGTAGAACAACAAAAGAGAGAATTAAGAATGGGCATATTCGTGAAATTGTAGAAGTAGCACCAAAAGGAGATAGAGTAAGATAATTCGACTTAGTGGTTCCAATATGTTTATATGAGACCTAGTAATGTACCAGTGGGAAAGATTGCTTTGTTCTATTTAATGTTAAGAGGTTGAGGTAGATTGAAATTAACTTTGGACCAAATGGTGAAAAAAATGTATGATAGCTCATGGTTTCACGGAAAATAAGGTCCTCAGAGCACAATGGAGAAAGGGAAAAATAGAATTCATAAAGCCAACCCCAAATAGTTTGGATAAAGTTTTTGTTGAGTTGAGTTTAAATACCAAATGGAGGACAGATTTGTTATGTGCCTTGGTTTTAACGTTGGGTGGCCTGTTGGCAAAATATCATACAATTTCATTTGGGAAAACCTGTTAGGTCAGGGTTTCAGGTCCCGTTAACTGTTGTCAAAATGCTGTGAAGCATGTACACTATGTGGAAGATGGATACAACACAGACAAGTTGATGCAAAAGTAGGACACAAGGAAAAACAGCAGGGAAATATAGTTTTATTCTTAGCATGTGTTTTATTACTATATGTGGTAAAATGATAAATATATTCATAATTCTATGGCTTAAACATTAAACCTTTGACTTCTCAATTAAAGTACTTAAAAAGTATCAAAATCTCATGGACAAGCTGATAAATAATGTGGCAAATGTGCATGTGTGCATACATATGTAGATATGGACATAGTTATGCACATATATGTCATGGGTCACGGCACGCTAATGAAAGTCATACCCAATTGTTGGATGCATATACCCTTGATTAGTTGTATGCTCTTTGTGCCAGACAAGTGTCCAAAATCAAGAAATGTTGAACGGTGGTTAGAATTATTAGCAGAGATAACCAACTGTTATCAAGTATTTCATTATTTCCTAGTTAATCACATTGTCAAATCCTGAAATCTTCAACAAATTGGATCTATTTGGCTACGAGCGTCTCATTCCAAACACAGACGACACAATATGAGACTGCACTCTACCATCGAATCAATACTCATGACAGTCTCTTACTTAGGGCTTGTGAAGCAAGAGAAGACCTATCCCTCTCTTGTACTTCTTTTTTTTCGTTTAGAGAAGATATGATCTTGAAGATTTACTGCTATAGAGTTCACTCGTGCCTTATCCTAATTGACTAAACTATTCATCTCTGTTTTGAATTCCTTCCTAAGTGACTAAGGAATTGATACATGCTGGAGAGAGTTCTTGTTTTGTGGTTGTGGACAGAAGCATCAAGTATTTTTAGTCCTGAGAATGCATTTAGCCTTAATAGTTATACTTTAGTTTTGTGCACAAAGCATTCTCTAGGAGTGACTAATTCCATAGGTTATGTGAGATGTCGGTTCAAAGAATTTTCTTGTCTTATAATAATTTATGTTAGGTATATTAATGGGTAATCGAATTAGGTGGTTGGAACATATTCATGGACTACATTCTACTGTACCAGCGAGAAAGAGTGATGTAATAGCTATTGACGGTAATCGAAGAGGAAGAGGAAAATCAAAATTCTTTAAATAAAATAGTAAAAAAAAATGATAGCTTATGATTTAAAAGGAAGTATTGCCTCTAGTTGAGCACAATGCTGAAAATGATTGATGTAGCCGATTTCAAAAATGTTAGGAGAAGGCTTTGTTGAGTTGAGTTGTATATATTTTTTCTTTTTGGGCGGACAGATATGTAGTAATGACAATATTATGATACTACATTTTCCATCCTCTCATTCAAACACCCTTAGTTTTCAAGTAAAAATTCTAGTTAAGTTCTGGGGTAAGACGATTGGTTATTCTAGGTCTTATTTAGTTATTTTCACGAATTCACTTGTCGCAGGTCCATTTAGTCACTATTTGGAAATGTGTATGTTTCTCCTTGGTTTCCTCATGGAATAAGGGCTGATGAGCCTATGTTCATGGAGACTACATTAAACCAACCCCACCCCCCAAAAAGGGTTTGCTTAAGGTAGAGCTCCACCCCCAAACTTCTGTTCTCTCTCTCTCCCAACCCATATTGCAGGACATTTCAGGCTTTCATTTCTATTATCATGATAATACTGAAAGCCCATTTGGTTGTGTGTGAGTGGTATAATTGCTTTTCCTCATACTGAGGCTTAAACACTTAAGAGTTACAATTGAAAAATAACACGTCGGACATATAATTCAGATACGCCTTGATGCCTTCTGAATGTTCTTAAAAATTTGGGGCCGTGGGGCCATACTATTTTGGGAATGGTAGGGTTTTAAGTTGTGTTGCCTTGTTCTGATTGTTTTTGCTCCACTTTTTTCTTTCGTTACATCTCGTATTTCATTTTTGTTTTTTGTCTTTAAGTTATTCTTGTTTGAAACACTTTGTGAAGTTAAACATTGTGTTGATGGCTTTAATTCTTCTTTAGTTTCAGAGTAGTTTGTCAAATACTTCTTTTGAAAAATATCATATTTTTACTGCAATTCTGTGCATCATTTATAACACCACCTTCAAAATGTCTGTTCAGAAATTTTTAAGGAACAACACTTGAAAGGTCTTGATTTACTTTATGAGCCCTTATTGGTAAATATCTTGCTTTATTTGTGGTTAACTTTACAGGCAATTTCTAGACGGGCCACTTTATTTGACATGATTCGAGATTATGGACAAGCCGCCCTAGATCTCCGGAGACTTGTATCTCTTCTGACAAAGCAAGTTGAGGATAAGGCGAACCAGTCTGGACAATCTGATAAAATGAACTGCATAAATGAGCTAAAACAAACTCAAGTAAAGCTTTCCGTAATGGAAGAGGAATCCAGAAAGGAAATCACTTTGAATATGTACCTCATTCTGTAAGTTTCTTTTAATTCCATGAATAGAACAATGCAGAATTGCTACCTTTTATGTGATGTGGTGGCCCGAAAGGATCATAACCATCAATCATGCAGCAATTACCTTATTCTACTTAAGCATATGCCTTCCAGGCTTCAAATGAGAGTTTTATTGTTATACCATTGCTGAGTTAGTACAACCCTCTGCAACATGTCCGATGTGAACCATAAAGCTGTACCCACATTGGAGTTGTTTGTGTGGTTATCTTATATTGGTTCCTTCTTTTCTTTTTGCTGTGAGTTGTATGCAAGGGCTTAATGCATGACATTTGAGCTAATTCTTGCTTGTACTTAAGAAAATAGTTTTCACACAAGGTTTGAAGAGTTTTATCTAGTACCAAGAAGATGCAGATTTTGATATTTTTCAGCATTGTCCATTCTTGTGCATTGATATATATCGTTGACTCACCTCTAAGTCAATTGAACTAAACTAAGCTGAGATGTGTTCGATTGTCTATCACTAACTATTGCAATTAGCAGTATGCTGCCTTTAACCAGATATAGATTTTTCTGAGGTTTATATGATTTGCGTCCTATATTTTTAACATGTTTAAATATGTGCATGACATATTAGGAGATGAGGCTTCTTGACTATTGTGTAGATTAATTTGAGCAACTTACTATTGGGCACCGAGTAATATGCACAAAATGCTAGCCAAGTAGCTTGACATTCGTAGTTTACCAGGAACGAATAACAGTGTCGGAATAGAACATGTTAAGTCGAATAATGGAGGAGTCATTTGCAAGAACCTCTACACGACTCAACACGCCTCCCTCTGATACTAGTACAAGTGATACTGACTTGCGACTTATCATCAATACAATAGGATTAGTGTCAAAAATGCAAGCTTTCATTGGAAATCATTATCCAAGTCCAAGAATTAAACCATACCCAAAGAACACCTCGAATAGTTGCCATCTATCACACAACAATTAGAAGCCAAATATTAGCAAACATTATGTTCGTGTCTTCCCAACAAATTTTAATTGGCATTTGATATAAGCCTCAATCACACCCTAAGAAGTACGGACATGGACATGGACACGACATTTCTCAAAAAAAAATAGGACACTGACACGTTGGGGGACACGCTACAGATAATTGTGTTATATATGATATTATAATTTGTTACAAATGTAGTGACAATAATATACTATTCATACAATCTTGAGTACTTTATAATAAGTAGATTTTATGTCTAGTGATATAGTGTGAATTTTTAGACTAAAACATCATAATAGTCAAATAATCATAAATTATTTTGTGTACAATGTGTACCCTACATATATAGGTTAAATGATTGCTCTCATTTAATCATTTCCTCTTGTTTAAAGTTTTTATGTATCTTTAGCTTTTATTATTGTATTTTTAGTAATCTTTTAACATGTCTAGTCTTGGTAATTATACATTTTCTCATAGTATAAGGTATTTGTTAGTCTAATTTTTAAGTGTTAACACATATGTTCTGGTCTAAAGAAGTATCAGACACATCACCAAATAAGTGTCGGACACGTATCCGAAATTAACATTTTATTATTGAATTATGGACACGAATAAAAGAGTCTCAGACATGTGTCCGAGGAATGTCGGTGTCCGATACAGATACGTCACCTTTTTTAGATTGTCCGTACTTCATAAATCACACCTTATCCTAGAATCAAGTTAAAAACAACAGTCAAATGTTCAAATATCAAAGATTGAAGTTGGGTATCATTGAAAACTGAAAAACATAAAAAAATCCAAAAGTCCAATCAAAAGGCTTCAAAAAATTACAAAAAATCATTATTTTTCTTAGAAACATAAGGCAAATGTATTCCGATAATTCTTAGAAAATAACCTTTAGTTCATGTGTTGTTGAAAAAATCCTACTGTGATCGGTGCTGACATTAGCTTGTTTATTGACGCCAGATATTGACACCAGGCACAATTGTGTTTGTCAGATGTATTTTGATGGGTTCGACAAAATTTAAAGTTTTATATTCAATCAAGGCTGCAATACCAAGTTTGATTGTGAAGTTATAGGGTCTTGAGAAAGAAGAAAGAAACTTGGAGAAAAAATAATAGTCAAGAAAAACTATGTGAAGGGTACTGTGCTAGAATGCACAATTGCACTCCAGAGTATTTATAAACGCAAATATAGAAATGCCTCTAAACTATATATAGAGCCTAACATAACACATCCATAGACAATGGGTTGATATTTCCCGGTCGCAAGCTCGATGACATTAGTGATGGTTAATAGTGAAGGTGACAGTGGGGGAATTTGATGTCAGTATTGTCCATGAGTTGTGTTGGGGGTGTATGCAGGTGTGTAGTCTGTGGTGGGATTGATTGATCTTTTATGTTGGGGTAGCCTTATGGATTATTTTTTCTTTGTGGTGGTGGAAACTCTTGGTAGAGGTATGTGAATTGGTGGTGGTGGTGGTGGTGGTGCCATGTTGGGGCATGTGAAAGAAGAGAGAGTGTGTGTGTGCATGTGCTTTAAACGAGGCATTGAGAGAAAGAGAGTGTGAAGAAGGAACGTTTCTGGTAAAGGGTATTATTTGGTAAGTTGAAGAATTCTTTCACGGCATCAACCTTTTGTCCTGTTACTAGTCACAGCAGGGTACTCTCTAAGATGGACCTACGAAGTAGAAAGGCTGTCAGTATCATTTCTGGACTTACAAGGGGTTTGACACGTGACAGTTGTCTACCATTTTAAATATGTCAAAGTTCTCTGAGGGATGGGTGGATCTTTGTTTGCAGTAGTCTTTTATGTCTGCATATGACCAGTTCTGTGCATGTACCATGGGCATTGTCAAAGCTAATCTGTAAGTATGTGCCTTCTAATCAAAATAAACTGACCATTGCCTTCTTGATTTTCATTTCAAAATCACCAAGTGTTTTTAAGTGCCTTTGGCATGGTTTTTTCATTTGTGTTGTTTCAGAAGATCATATCTGTGCTTCGCTTGTATTATTGACATTCTGTTGTTTTCATCATAGATGTCTTTAACTATAGGTGACATGATGCTTTTGACATTTCAGGGGCATAGATCCATCTGCAGCCACATCAGAAATTAAGAAAGCTTATCGGAAAGCTGCACTCAGACATCATCCCGACAAGGTTTTTGGCCTTTTACTTCTGCTGCTGCCATATCAACATGGTTCTTTTGTTGCACTTTCTAAAAAATTATTTGACTGATGTAGGCTGGCCAATCTTTGGCCAGAAGGGAGAATGGCGATGATGTGCTCTGGAAGCAAATAGCAGAAGAGGTCCACAAAGATGCTGACAGGCTGTTTAAAATGATTGGAGAGGCATATGCAGTACTCTCAGACCCTACCAAGGTCTCATTTTAACATATACATCTCACTCTCTGGGCCAAGAGAAAGGAAAGGGCCTCAAATTTTTGAAGGCTTGAGCATCCTGTTGCCATATTTTAAATACAGTCTTTCTGTGATGTTCAAGTGCTTTTTTGCCAATTGCTGTTGCTATCACTTTTAAATAAGGGATTGTAGCTGTATTCATTTTGTATGCAAGAGTCTGCCACCTTTCTTCCTTTACCATGCACAGACTAGACAATTGGTGACATGTCTCATTCTTCCGAACTATTAAGCTTTTCAAAATAAAAAACTGGAAATAAAATTTTCCGGATAGAAGCATAAACATGAGAATTCAACTAGTTATTATAAATTTTTTCCCCATATCTTGTTAATTTTAGAATTGAAAGTCCACGATAAAATCATAGATTTCTCTAATAGAGTCGACTGGTACCAAATTAATATTTGTTTTTGCTGGGGGAGAAAGGAGGGAGGAAGAAAGCAAGGAGTTAAGGAAAAATAAATTCATGCAGCTGTCAGAGTTATTGTAGCATTGGGTAAAGCACTTGCATTCTATCAATAGGGACAACAGGAGAAAAGAAGGGGGGGGGGGGGGGGGGGGGGGGGAAGGGTCGAGGGTTCACTTCTCATCGCCGATGGTAAAATATGTAGTCATGTGGCAGAGCCGTGGACTACGCCACTATGAAAGCCGTCTAGTTGACTGATATACACCTCTCTGATCCTGTCCCATAGCTTAATGTCCAAACTGAGAATGATTTATCTTTGGATTCATACAACAGTTCATGATGGATTTACTTGTTACCATTTGTTGTTTTATATGATTTTCCCTACTTGAAATGCTCACCAGTAATTCCACTTATGCTTTCACTAGCCTCAGTTTTGTACCTGTACTGTTAATGTCTTAAGTTCCCTCTTTTATTTGGCTCTCTGGAAGGGCCTTTTTTTAGTTAACTGTGATACAGAATGCAGAAATATAGTACACTAGCGGGTTTGTTATAATTATAATGGGATGTATACAATAGATTTATAATGTATGATAGAATGCATATAAGTTAAACTGATCTTCTATTTTCATAATTTTCCTGTCCTTGCTTAGTGTTCACTTGGTAAATGCTTTATATTTGTAGCGGTTAAGGTATGATATTGAGGAAGAGATGAGAAGTGCCCATAATAGAGGCTATTGAAGCAGCATGTCGAGAATGCATGCGGATTTCCAGAATTGTCCATTTGAGAGAAGTAGCAGCAGGTGACAATGGCAATAGGTATGGAGATCGTATGGAAACTCTCCGTATAGAGGGTCAGAAAGAACTCAATCGGACAAGTATACGTGACCAATTATTGGCAGGATCTGTGAAAGCAGTGTGGAAATTTCAAATCTCTCATTGCATCAAAAGTCCTAGTTGAACAATTGCTGTGTCCAGCCTGCTACATATGCTATAAAGCTTCAGTTAGAGCTTCAGAGGACGGGGCAATGGCTCCATCAACTCAACAAAGAACAGGAGGCAAATGGTGCATAAAGGTTTCAAAGATGTTGAATGCTTGACTGAGATTTCTGGTATGCTCAAAGGCTAAACACATAATTTGGGGAAGCTAGCAGAAATACTTTTATCAACCATATTTTAGGATTTCAGACAGATTGTTGGATAGTAGCTTTATATGGGGGAGGGAGGAAAGTGATTCTCTTACTATGTGAGTTCTATTTGTGTACAGGCAACATGTACAAATGCAGATGATGTATTGATGCAACTGAGAAAGGATGATAGTATACCGTTAATGAGATAAAGAAAGCAGCAAATGCTGATGCAGCAGTGTGTTAATCAGACAGACAATATGGTCGCGACATTTGCTACTCTTGGCCGTGACATTACTAACATAGTGGTTTTTTCAAAGAGGCCATGGAGGACCTGGTTGAATCAAACTTGTGTTATACATATTTGTTTTGGTATAAAGCATCTTAGTAAATATATTTGATTGTACAGTGACTGTTTGTTATATTGGTATGAAAATTCAGCATATGAAGAGAGCAATGAGTGGAAAGCCTTGTGTGTTTTAACTTTGACCGACTTTCTAGACAAATAACTTGGGTTCAGGTATTTGGTTGCGTTCTATTTTTTTGCTGTATTTTGTAAGCAGGGCTTCAGGTTGATCTCAGGTTAAACAGTAGTCTTGAGAATAATATGAAGCTTCGAGGGATGGATGTGAACCACCTAAAGCTTGTTTACATTACTAAGAAATGGATGTGAACAACTCTATGATAGTGTTTCCTTAAATAAAATGATCATTTGCTTATAATGATGACTTTTTAAATAAAATGGTTGCATATAACAATTTTTCTGGTTTGTGGATGTTTTTAACAACGTTGAGTATTTATACGACTATTATGGTAATTGTTTTTATCACTAATATCACAACAGTTATAAAAATATTCATAAATGTAATAAAAATACTCACAATGTAATAAAATTCTATAAATTGTCAAAATGTATTTTTTCGGTATCACAGACAACTCCATTACTTTGATATGATGTTTCTTGAAGTTTGCAATTTATTTTTATAAAAAGTGATGTTCTTTGAAAAAATTTAAATTGTATTTTGTACCATTTAAAGATTGAAAGTCTCGTATTGTGTCATAATTTTTTTAAATGATTGTAATGTCCCTGATTTAGGAAATGGTGTCATATTTTCTGTATATTGACGTGAAACAATTGAATTTTTATGGGAAGAAATGCCCTAGTAAATAATGTCATAGGGTAAAGTGCTCTAACAAGATATTAAAAAAAAAAGAAAAAAAAAACACATGCATGTTTTTTTTCACACTTATTTAGAAATACAAAGGTATAATATGAATTTTTTAATAATTGAGTGGACAGTTAAAACTTTTAAAATCTACCAAAAATAAAGTACCAGTATCCCTCATTTTTAATGGTCTTTTCACTAACTTAGGTTCAAGTAATAAACAAAAGTAGATACTTGATGAGCATCATCAAAAGACAAGTAATTAGTAATCATATATGAAGAGAGGGGTAGTGTATTTTCAATAAATTAATCATCAAACATCAAATTACATAATTAAAAGTTGATGGACCAAAATGACACCGAGTTCCTAGTTGGGGGATCTCCGTATTGTATTACTTGCAGATTTTTCATTGTATTATACCCGCATATATGATATGTGTCTTGAATCAACATCAGGGTATAGAATCTACTAGTCAATCTTTCTGATTTTATGTTTTCTTTTTTTAAACAATAGATTTCAAGTTCATTTCAACTAAATAATCTTATTGACTTGACATGGTAAGTCTCGTGGAATTTCCACTTGTATTGCCTATACATTTCATCTAGATGATGTGGTCATGGTGGTTGTTTCTAGTTACTGGTGATGACCCTTCGCAATAAATGGGATTCATAATCTTTACCTTCCACCACCTACTCACCCTTCACATATGGGAATATATATATAGATTTGTATGGAAGAGTTCTAAAAAATAATGTTTTTTTCTCACACAATATAGTTCTACAAAAAAAATAGTAAAACTTCTTTTAACAATAACCCAGAAAATAGTGAAACAAAGTGTGGTGGTGGACGCCGTGGTGGTGGTGGGAATGTGGTGATTGTGTTGGTGATGGAAGTTTAGTGGTGTTGGTGGAACGCTGTTCATGAGAGTATAGTGGTGGTGGACGTTGTGGTGATAGGAGTGTGGTGGTGGTGGAGTGCGATGGTTTTGGAGGTGGTGAAAGTGAGGTGATGGCGTGGTAGATGTGATGGTAGTGGTGGTGTTTTCTAAATTTTAGAAATGTTTCAAACAAAACACATAAAACAGTTCTAATTTGTTATCTAAATCTACTCAGTTTTTTGTTCTCAGTTTTTAAAAAACAATGAAATTGATGACATAAAAATGAGTCTTGATCATTGGTCAGATTTAGATCAAACGGCATTTGTCCTGCTTAATTTAAAGCCTAACCTATTTTTCCATCTTCTATTACTCTTTGATTACACTCGATCTTCATGCTCTACATAATATATTGTGACCTCTTTCTAAAGGAAGGAACTTTTATTTGTAATTTAACAAACTAAAACTGCAAAAATTAAAGAAATGAGCTCCCTCTACCCATAATCTGATTATTATATGTATGGATGGAGACAGATATGAATTCCATAGGAAGAGTTATTATTTATTCGAAGAGTATAAAAACGAAGGGTTTGATAATCTAGATTTTCTTGGGTGGCGTTTGACATTCCCTTTAAACTAACACAAGAAAATAAGCCAACCAACTAATTAGGAGATATCAAATGCAACCAAATTTTTCAACCCAGAATTGATTGATATTTGTTTTGAGGAATACTATGTAACTCAAATCTTCAACTTAAATTTGTATACCAAATGAAGAGAGACTATTGGATCAGTGGGTCTTATTTAAAAAAGTTGATGGGACACACTCATTCAATGGTCCCCCTTCATTTGAGATATAAATTTGGATTATAAATTTGAATTACATAATATTTCCTATCTGTTTGTTGCATCTTTGACTTCTGGTCTTGATCTATTTTTAATGCTCTACCAAGTTTTTAATATTCTTTCGTCAGCAAGAACGACCCAAGACTAAGGACGATAATTTTTGACACAACACGAAAACACGACTTGAAATCGATATAAAATGAATGGGTTAGAATTGACTATTTATTGACACAAACCCATAGATGATACAATCCGTTAACACGAATAATAAATACGTTGGGTTAGTGTCAAACATGAATAACATAAAATTGATACGATTAACACGTTTAAGTAGTAGTATACGAATAAAATGCTAGTTTTTTTTTATATTTTATCAAATAGTGACCTATTCTTGTACAAAAAATATATTTTTACTCATTATTATTATTATTATATTTATAAATTAATTTTTAGTATATAGAAAAAATATGAGCATATGCTCGATTAAATGATAATGAAATTTTATACATCAAAATGAGCCTTAATTTTTTTATTCACAGATTATATGGATTAACATGAATACGACAGGAAAACTCTTCTGTATTCCTACCCGATTTAATCGAAAGACCAAAAACTCTTCTGTATTTCTATTCGATTTTTGCGGTTAGTCATTCAGTAAGGTAGGATAGGGTCGAATAGGGTAGAAAATTACGATCAATCGAAAATTTTAACACCCCTAATAGTATTAAGCATCAGTTGACAATCAGGTGTACTCCCCAACAAAATAGTATGACAGAGAGAAAAAATAGAACTATTATAGATATAATTAGATGCATGATGGAATCTAAAATATGCTTAAAATTTTTTGGACAGAAGTTGTTGCTTGTGTTGTTTATATTTTGAACAGGTCCCCTAGCAGAAGTTTTAAGGGAAAAACTCTCTATAAGATTTGGAGTGGTCAGAAGCCTAGTATTCAGCATTTGAGGATGTTTAGTTGTATTGTTTATGCCCATGTTTCTGATCCACTCAGTAAAAAGCTGGAAGACAAGGCTGAAAAGTATTTTTTTTTGGTATAGTTCAATTACAAAGGAGTAAAAGTTAAAGTCATTATTAGCAGGAATGTCACTTTTGATGAGTAGGGTATTTGACATTCGTTCCAAAAGAAAGACGAGTCAGTCACACTTATTCCTTTTGATGTTGATGATTCAGTTGGTGATCAGCTAGTTGAACAGTCACCAGTTGTTCAATCCCCGCAGCCAGAGTCATCTAAGCATGAACGACACATGTCAGCTAGATTGGAGGATTATGTTATTGGCACTAACAGTGATCCTTCATATGAGGATTTGATAAATTTTGTTTTATATACAGATTGTGATCCTGTTTCTTTTAGTGATACTTGCATGGATAAACATTGGGTGAAAGCAATAGATGAAAAAATTCATTCTATTGAGAAAAATGACCCATGAGAGCTTATTTCTCTTCCTAAGGAAAAGAAAGCTATTGGGGTTAAATTGGTGTACAAGACAAAATACAAACAAAACGGAGAGGTGGATCGCTTCAAAGCGAGATTAGTAGTCAAGGGTTACAAACAAAAATCAGGTGTTGATTATCTTGAGGTTTTTGCTCCTGTTGCTAAGCTTGATACTATTCATATGATTTTTTAAATGGATGTGAAATCTATTTTCTTGAATGGTATCCTTAAGGAGGAAGTTTATATTGAGCAGTTTGTTGGTTATGTTAATAAAGGG